TATTTCTTCGATTAACCTATTAATAATCGGATGACTAAAGGTTTTTATTAAAGTAAACCAGGCAAAACTGAAATGTTTCTTCTTAAGGAGTTCTGGATAGAGCATATGACACACGAAAATGTTTTTTTTTTATGTTAAATGCAAATTATTTATACATATTTCTTTACAAATTTTATATAATTGCTGCTCTAAGTGGTTTGCTCTGTCAGCTTAAGGCAGGTTTTACATTCTCTATACTCAAGTTAACGATTAATTGATGACTAAATTAGTTGATGATTATTTCAATAATCAATTAATCACGATTAATCCAATTTCTTGTTTCAGCCCTGGTGATCTACTTAAATACTAAACAAATATAGCATCTTTTTAATAATAATTATTATTATTAGTTGAGATACAAGGTTAATTTATTTCAAATTTTTTGAAACATCTTTACCTCAAGCCAATAAATTTCTGTTGATTGTTTGAGTTACCAATGGAGAATCATAGCAAATACACGTTGGTGCATATTTCTTATGTTTTCTAACACCAAGTAAAAGAACATGGTTCACTCTTTCTTTAAAAGACAAGTTTATTAAATAAATTTGTCCAAATCTGCTTGTCAAAAAAGGTAGTGAATGCCTGAGGACCTATTTAATATCAAATTCCAGGTATAGTCAGACTGGACTTGGAAGTTAAACTTGTGCTATTCTTGAAGTGTGGTCAAAATTATCTTTAAGGGCTGCAACTATCCCCCAGGACTCACATTGGACACCCCAGCTCTAACACCTCCTTCCAAATGGCAGCAGCAAAAAGAGTTAATGAGAGGGTTGGAAGAGGCTTCAGCCCTATCCACATCAGGGTCTGCTTGTAGCAGGAGAGTGTCATGTCTATGGCTCCAATTATACTTTATTAGAACTTCACACTTTCTGTGTCAGATAGCTGACGACTAACAGGATGCTTTTGATGGCCCCTAAGAGGTAGGTGTCCTGATAAATTGAGATTTTCCTTTTTAATTCTGACCTTTCTGATCTTTCTAGGCGGAGGCTGTTGACACAGGAGTAAAAATCATTGCAGACAGACGTCAGTAACTTGAGTTTTAATATATTTCTTTCAGTGCAGTATCACTGATACCAAGTAGGGTGTGCCCATAAAAAAAGCTTAGTTTCCCTTCCATTAGGAAAGAAATGGTTTTATTGTTGTGTTATCTGTGATGAGGCCTGCTGATATCATAGCATCGGGTGGTAAGATGATGAGGTGGGTACCTACTCCCAGGTCAGCAGGGTGAACGAGTGGAGGACCTTTATCTAATCTATGTTTTCTAAAGTTTTATTTAATCCTGCCTGATATTAGCTTTTCTTTTCTTTACAAATAAGCGGACGTTAACAAAAAATAACCTGACGGACATCTGCAATAAGACATCTGCCACTATAAAAAGCACATTTCATTAAAAAACTTATCATTTGGAAGCTGCATTTAGGTTATTCATACTTGGTTTGATGATGTGGAAAAATAATTTGTGACTAAAAAGCAAAAACAAAAGAAATCTCAAAAGGTGGACTATATTATAATATTGTACTATATTTCTGTTATGGGGCCAGAAGATTAATGAGACAAAACAATCGGATATTCACAAAGTTAAGCTAAAAAAATCAAAATACAACGTTGTCCTGCTGCTTTGCTATTCTGTTTGTCCAGTAGATGGCAGGATTGTAATCATTGCAGTCAAATAGGGACACCTATCAAACAAGATTTACCTGTTCTAATTAATGAGGAGCATAAACAACTACGAGAAGCCCACAAACAAGCAATGTGAGACAGGGTTTTTTTTCACCTACAGCTCCTTCATGTCACCTTGTGACAATACTTCCTTCCATTGAGTCAAAAGGGAAGAGGTGCCTCTTCCTCAAACATCCTCTGATTTACTTTGACCTCGCACTTCTGCTCTTTTGCTGTCAGCAGGAAAGAAAGAGCAGCGCAGGGTGAGCCGGGAAACATGTCAAAGCACAGGGCAGGAGGGGGAAGTAACAACAATGACACAGGATGAGATTTGCTCTGTCCGGTGCACTCAGCAGTATCTTTACACCCAGAGGGATAACAATGGGACAGGAGGGCTGAAAACATCAAGTGGAAGCTACCAGTTTCCCTCCAGGACAAAACTGTTTTTTCTGCATCTGTAGATGGCTTTTTAAAAGTATGCATTGATGATGCAAGCAGCAAAGCTAGAGTTTGCCTAACAACATGAGTAAAAGGATTGCATGGCAGATTTTGTTAATTTATTTACACACCTTTGCACTTCATTACTCAGCTAATGAAACAGAAGGTTGTTCAGCAGAAACAGGAGCTTGTGATCCATCAATATATCCTTGCAGCATACAAATGTCTTTTGGTTTGTAAATCACTGATTGCATGACAAAAAATGCATTCATTTACATCTTACTGCACCTTTATAATCTAGTTCCTCTCTCTCATTTAGATAATTACTGAAACAGCCTGAGACACGAGACGCTGAGGCAGGATCTAGTGTAACTTAATTAGGAATACTGTCGTTTTGCTCTGCACAAGCAGTACAGCCGGAAGAGAGACTGCATGCAAATATGGAAAGAACCTGTGTGTGTGTTTACAGAGAGAAAACAGAGGAGGCCTATAAACTAATTTAGGATTCACAGAAGAATGATAAAGACCATAACAGATCAATTGAACTACAAATACAATTAAGGTTTATTTCTATTGCAGATTTGTTTAACGATTCCCTGCTATAAGAAAAAAAAGCCACAGCAGAAATGTGACAATTTTCCACTAGGTGGTGCAATAGGACTGCAATGCTTACATTCACACAGGAGGCCTGCAATCCTAATTTAAACCAATGACTTTGTGTCTATTTAGACATAAACAATGCTCTCCTTTCTGTATATGTCATTCAACCACTCGCCACCATTCAAGTTTATTTGTTGACAGTTTAAACATCTCATGTGTTGTCCAAGAGCAGATAAGCGACAGTGAATTCAAGTATTTTTGGCCCTTATCAGAAACTGAAGGTCAAGTTAGGAATTAAGGCACAGTAACCAGCCAGTGTGCCATTAAATGAAAACCTTCTGACTCAATTTTCTCCTTAACAACTCCAATAAATCAGAGGAGTGACGTTGCTGAGCAGAGCATGCCTCTAAACTTTGAGCTTGCCACTTGTTTCCAGCTGAGCCAGTTAGTTCAGTATTGATTCTCTGTCTTGATGTTTTGCCACTATAACCATCTGACCTCAGAGCACAGAAATTAAATTCAGTACATCCAACCATCTAACAGAGAGAAAGAATGCCGTGAGAGGTGAGACCCACATCTGTGCTTCAGACTGTAGTCTTGTATCAGGGAACATCTTGGTCTGTTTTCTAGCTACTGCAGCACCTCTCACTCAGTGTTTTTCCTGCCCTTGTACAGGTAGGCCTGCTGCTGGAACAAATCAGCATCTGAGTTTTAATAAAATGCTCCGAGGCACATAATGTACTATTTAAAACAGAAACTGCGCATGCAAAGCTGTGACAGGATTTCTTAGAAGAAAGCCACTGGAAGATCACATTACAGCTAATTTTCCTAGACCTACTCTGATCAGCAATCGGCAGGTTAAAGAAAAACCTTTTTTATCTTATCTAAAGGAATCCAATAAAAAAAAAAAAAAAAAAAATCTCTCAATTTTCAGTTTATGAACCAACAATCAACAGTAGGTACTTTTTTTTTTGACAAAGAGATAATCTAATTATTAATTTCTTTTTTGTTGGATTCAAAACTCTAAATTTTTCAAAGACGTTACAGAACATCATCTTCTTATCTGTAAATTATAGTCCTGTTTTGGAAAACCAAAAACTGATTATGGCCAGGAAAAATGTTATCAGTTCACCTCTAATCTTTATGATTCTTTATCTTTCCCCAATAAAACTTTCCCCCCCCATCTCCTCTCCTAATAACAACACCCAGAAATGTGTAAATATACCTATATATATATCTTTATTTTTACACTACATCGTCAGGGAAGAATGGTTATGGGAACAAGAGTTTTCCAAAGGTTCCTAGCTCCACACTGAATGTGTAAAAACTGCCACTGAGGGGATGTACATGCAGTCTTAGCTGTATATAGTACAGTACAAAGGATTTGCTGCATATTTGTATCTATGGGTGTCACTGTTATATGGTTCTTTTAAGACAAACTTTATTATATTCTTTTAAAATAGTCGACAAGTTTATGAAGATATTTCTGCATATATATTTAGATTTTAAAGTACTATTCCTAAGTCTGGTAATGATCATGTTTTTTGTGTTGTTTATGAAGTGGAGGCCAAAAGAGGAAACATGGTAAATAACTGTCAAGAGCACGTGAACTGAATTTGAGAGTCACGCTCTTGCAAACTTTATCTGAAGAGCTGACACACCTTCTGATAGATAAGTCATCATTCAGTGGATCGTCTCCTGTGTGCTCCATTTTTTTCGAGTAAAAAGAAGCAGCCTTTGACTAAATAAATGTTTTGCAAAACCAAACAAAAACCCTGGAGAATTGTTATTGAAGGCCAGATTAAAAGAGTACATCTTAATATGTCTACCTGAAAACAAACTATGAAGAAATAGGAAATTACTCAAGAGTTTTGCAAATGTATCTATAAAAGAAAATGCTCAGAGAGAACACATGACTTATCCTGATGTTGAATAAATTATTGTCAGAGGATTTTTTTAACAAGAGGCTTAACTGTGGGTGTACCCCGGAGCGCATGGAAATATTCAGAACATTCAGTCTCTGCAGCTGCACATCTCTACCTGTTTGGTCAGGCCCCTTACTTATAAGATGTGATGATTATCCAGCTCACCCTCATGATATCTGCTCCAAAATTGGGAGAGGTAATTACTGTTGCACCACCCTTCAAAGGTTCGGCCCAAAACGCACTAAATAAGTAGAGACTTAACCACACACACCTTTCTAATGCACACGGCACATTCTTCCATTTTTTTTACAGATTCAAGAAAACATCTGTTGTTTAGAGTTAGCCTCATTTTGAGGGATTTATTGATTCTAATAAACATCAATGTGATTTAATACAGAAGTTGCATTTGTTTTGACATTTCAATTAAAGACTCCCGGAATCTATAAAACATCCATGGAAATAAATCAGCATTGGTAAAGGGACAGTAAGTACCGTTTTGAGCACATCCTTAAAGGTTAAGGAAAAAAAACAACTGTTATCTAAAGTGAGACTTGACTAATGCTGGAATTTTAAAAATATATATCTTCTAAGTTAAACATAAAGCAGCTCAGTCAGAGGTAGACCAGAAAAACCAAATAAATTGACAAAAACAAGGAAGACAAAGAATTTGTGCTTTGAAATCGGTTCTTTAGCTGTGGAAGATTGTTCAAACCCTTTTTCATCATCTTATATTAACAAAAACTTTATAAATTATAAACAGGTCTAGATATATATAATTTAAAAGACAGGAATGTTTTATTTCCCCACTATCCAAGAAAAAGATTTTTTAAGCTCATCTAAAGTCTCAATGACATACATTCATTTCACTGCCCAATAAGGTATAAGCCAGTTCCAACAAGAATGTTTCAAAAGCTGCACAGTCCTTCAGGGGATTTTGGTTTGTCATAGTAGTGCAATGTGAGCTTTCCTGCTGATCCAGTCAAGGGTGTGGTCATGCGGGCATGCATTTAAAACAAAAACAGCTGCTCAGCTTGAACGAAAATGGAAAAATCCAATCCAGTTTAAACACAGAAAGAAAGTGAAATAACCAAAAGTATTTTGATGAAAAGACATTTTTTTGCTCATAAGGAAGAGACGCAAGAAAGTGACAAAATCTACAGTAAAAAATTTGGCCCCAACAGTGTACAGATTTTTAACTCCCTTCCTGCCCTCTGTGTCCATAAACATGGCGCCTATGCAAAACAGAGAAGAGAACCTGATGTCATCCTGCAGCTTGTTTGTTTTCAATCATTTAAAGACACATCTGTGAAAACATGTGTAATTAATGCTTTATTACCAAGAAAATAAAATGACTGCAACCTAATTAAAACAGTTTTCTCTTAACTGATTCTAAGTTGGTTTTTAAATATGTCTGGATTGGAAGATGATTTCTCTGATTGGACCCTTGATTGAACTGTCCTGGTTCAGTGTAAAGGGTTATTATTGTTCATTGTTTTGTTCCTGCTGCACTTCATTCTCTAGCAGCCTCGGAGTGTTCCTCAAAGGCCCTGTTGTCATAGAGATGCTGCTGTTGCTCTGGTTCGAAGGTCCTGTTGTCATAGAAATGCTGCTGTTGCTCTGGTTCAGGGCTCCTGGGCTCATTCAGCGGGACTTCATACAGTGTGTCTCCTCCTGCCACTGTGATCACAGTGACCTCTGGTGGAGAACTTCTGGACACGCTCACTTTGACCTCTTCCTCGACTCCCAGGGTCTTCAGGATGTCACACTTGCACATGGGGCAGGTCCTCCTCTCCAGCAGCCAGGGTTCAATGCAGGTTTTGTGGAAGATGTGCTCACAGGTTAGCACCGTCACCACCTCGCCCACCTTGTAGGATTCAATACAAACTGCGCACACTGAGTCAGAGGTAGTGAGCTCATCCCCTCGTTTCAGTGTGCGAACCTGAAGGCGCCCTATGGCCTTTTTGGCCTCATTTTTCAGCCTCTTCTCAGCACGCTTGTGCCTGTTCATGTTGTACAGACGGTTTGCAGAGATGAACACAAAGTAGGCAATGGAGGCAGCTGTCACGATGAAGAAGGCAAGAGAAAGGAAGTAGAGCCAGTACGTGTCCATCCAGGGCCCGTGAGCAGTGCCTACATCTATCACCATATGGACAACTGTCCCATTTTTCACTGACCTGGCGATCTCTGAGCCCTGAATGTTGCCGATCATGATGGCGACAATTTCGTCTGCATCTGGGTGAGACATATGAGTGGTGCCATTTCCACTGCCCTCCACATTGTACACCACCACTGCGTCTGCTCCTTGTTTCTTGGCAGCATTGATTTTTTCGCTGAAGGTACAGTTGCCTCTTTTCACCAGCGCTATCCATGACTGGGAGCTGTTCCGGCTGTAGGTGACATCTCGGCCACAGCCTGTGGGATCTCCTTTTGGAAGAACCACAAAGCCTGCAGCTCGTATCAGAGGAGAGTTACGGCCATAAACCCCACACTCACAGTACTTTGGCATGGTCTCATTGTTGCTGGAGGAATAGCTTGTCTCAATCAAGGCTGTCCAAAACATAAAAGCAGCAGAACGGGGAACAAGCCCCGACAAACACAGCAAAATTAGCAGCAGCGGCTGTTGAGTCTTCTCACCCATGGTAAGTCTCATCTGTAAATAACAGGAAGTAGTCTGTCAGCAGTGGAAATCTTCTTTAAAACTCCTTTTAATAGTCCTGGTTCCTGTTTGACTTCAAGTCACAGCACTCTGGAGGCAGGTATAGTTTCAGCCAACCTGCTGTCTCCGGTAATATGATCCTCTGGTAACATAACACAAGCTCTGCGTCAGCCACTCACCTCTTGTTATCTTCCTGAACCTTGAACAGTGAGCAATCCACACAGAGGGAAGGGTGGTGCTATTCAACAAGTAGGAAAAAACAGTCAGCACTGAGCTGTCGGTGAAGAGAACGATGTTCTAGAAGAAAAGGTGTGATAAGAATGACGATAAGACAAAATTCATAATCAGTAACTCGGGGCAATACACTGAGACTAATAAAACCTCCTAACTTGCTTTTGTAAGAGTGAGCAATGCAACTCTACCCGTTTTTCTTGCCTGGCCTGTTTCCTTCCCCTTTTTCTCCGTACTCATTGTTATGTAAAGCAAACTGACAAGTAAAGCAACTATTTACCTCAGGGAGCCAAATAAAGCCCCCCCTCCCCTTCGATTAGGGTTTTATTTAAACTCCTTGTTATTTAAATTCATACAGTTTCAGATCTCGGACACTGAAACACATAGAGACTCAACACAGAGGCGATAACTGATATGGAGCTGGGCTTCGTAAAGTTTCCATTGTATCGTCTTACACTCAAGTGAAAGCACACAAACAGGGTAGAGACACACGCGGAGGCTTACAGTGACAGATGAGATGGAGAGGATTCCTGCAAAGCTGATATTGCACCTCAGTCCACCAACAAGCATACAATCCACAGAATAAAGCAGGTCTTAGTAACTTGCCCTTAGTTAAGCATGAATATCAACAAATGAAAAAAAAAGTCCCAAATCTATTGTATTTAGCTCAAAGCCCTTGATAACAGAAACTATGCTGATGCTATGACCCTCACATTCCTAAAATATTGACCAATCAGAGATTAGGTTAAAGCGTACAGTGAATACAGTGTAATTCACCATGTTTTTTTTTTTGTCTTTTTTTCTGGAACGTGTTTGTCTTGTGTCGATTTAAATGACACCTTTTTCGACTACCCTTGGACTTTCGGCTGAAATACCGCGATCCACTGGGTTTTTTAATGGTCTGAAGTGGGGCAATTAACTCTTTCATAAGACAAGGGTTATGGCATACACTAATAACACAGCTGATAAGGACCCATGACATAAGAGTGGTTTCGATGTCCAAATATTAAAGCCACTTCAGTTAGTGCCACACATTGCAAATAGATCCAGGCAAGAAAAGCAGACATTTATAAAGATAGCAGAAATTCCTCAGGGTAAAATATATAAATGTAGGAAAGTAGCTGACTTTCAGGGAGGAAATACTAGGAATGGAAATTTTATCCTTTTAAGGCATTTTGTTGGTTTAAAGAATGTCCATACACAGAAACCAAATCCAAAACTAGATATCACACCAACAGACCACTGCTTAAACTGACCCATATTCTAAGCCAAAACCAACACAAAGGCAAGTGGATAAAAATCTTAAAGTTAAACGATTTGATATTAAAAAAAGGCTCTCAAAAGTCTACATTCCCCTGTTAAAGAAGTAGATTTTTTTGTAATGAAGGAATGTGCAATTACATTAGATGATATTAAATCTTTTTCTACCTTTGATGACATCTAAAGAATTCAACAGATGGACACATTATTTTCCATATAATACAACAGTTCAGCATGGAACACATGTTTTAAACTTCCATAACATTGTTACATAAGATTGGAAACTCTGAGTCAAATCAACTTGTTAAAGCAGGAATCTCTTCAGCAAACCATAATAAATGTGTGGTCCATATTATTTAAAATTTTTAGTTGTAAGTATTTCCACTGCAAGAAAAGTTTGTTTGCAGGGCTATTCCTCGGTGCAAATGCACATAAAATGAATAAAATATCACAGATAGAACACAAGAACTTTGGTTCCTAAAGGCCCTTTAGTGCTAGAACTACTACTTGTTTTGTGGTGGCAATTTAGCTAGAGCAGGGATCACCATGGCTACCCCTAGCCAATCATTGGCCACTCCTGCGGCCACTCTTAACCAGGTTAATTGTTGTTCCCATGAGGACATAATTTACCAGGTCCAGACCAAGCACTTCCGATCTCAAACAGAGGGTGGCAGCAGTGATACTCTGAAGAGGACTGTCCTCACTAATTGGACATTGGACATAGACAGCACAGATGTATAAATATTGTTCAGTGTTCTTGGCAAGGGCTTGATTAAAGTCTGGTTTGTCTTTACTGATTTATTTTCAATATGCAGATGTGCTGGAATGGATCAAAAGGCACAAACTGTCTGTGCACAGCAGGCAGGGTGGAAAAGCTGAACCTCTACACAGAAATGTGTAAGAAATATTTCATAATTTAAAGCAGCAAAACATTCAGGAAAAATACTTGAAAACCTGTTTTGTTTCATTTTGTCTTCTAAGAAACAAATAAACATTTTAAGTATGGGCTAAGAGAAAAATGGCTGTTCCACAAAATAAGAGATAAGATATATAAATAAATTTAAAAAAATTATAAAACTAACTTAAAATATGATGCATGACTGATTTTACCCATCACTATCAGAAGAGCTCAAAGCAACAAATGTTATGCTGGCAGAAAAAATGTCTTATAGAGAAAACCAAATCTAATATCTCTGCACTGGAAAAACACCCTGATTTTTCTCCTTCACCAGTCTCCTTATCTTTCTCTCTTAAACTCTTAGCTCTTCTCATCTTCATTACCAATGCTTCACTGCTAATCATTTACATTTATACAAATTTCTTTCCACTGTTGCACCGGCAGAGGCCTCCTTCACCTGTGATGCTCCTGGTCTGTCCTTCATTCTTTCTTCTTCAGATCTCACAACCTTTTCTTATTTCTCTTCACTTATTTTTTTGCCAGAAAAATTAGAAGTGCCAAGCAATTTTTTGGATGTTCTCCCCCTTTTATTTTATTTTATTTATTTATATATATATTTTTTCCTACTTGCTTTGATTCCTGTATTTTAATCATGTAAAGTACTTTGCATTGTCTTTGTACTGAATTGTGCTATACAAATAAATTTGCCTTGCCTTGCCTTGCCCTACAGATACTTTTGAAAATAGGGCTGTTGTAGACACTGGCTGCCCTCAGCGAGCTGAGCACCCCACAGCTACTACGCTGGCGCTCTCAAAGCAGCCGGAAAATGCATATCACCACCAAATGTTTGAAGAGATGGGTGGTATTGTGTATTATCTAATGCAAATATTAGTACATTGGCCTTTTCTTTGCTAGTTTTTCATTTTATACCAGTCAGTGAATTGTAGGTCACTACCTAACCATTTATTTGCTTTCACAGGATGATTCATACTCTCCATCTTCTGGCATGCTAAAAATCAATAAATGCCCTGCACAAATGCATTCTTCTACGAGCTCTGTCCCAATCCGTTTCTAGTTATTTCCTAGTTTCCCCTTCCGACAAAGGTTTTCCTTGTCTTTTTTTTTTCCGCTGGCTCTGCCAAGTCATACACCTCCAAAAATCCAAAGCAACTTCTCTGTAATCACCTGTGGGTAGTTCACCGCAATGCTTTTGGTTACTGGCGCTAATAGCCTTACATTGGGCTGCCGTAAAAATGTTCGCCTTAGGGGAGAGTGGGGACTGTTCCAACATGTTGCAGCTGCAACATTGATTTAACCATTAAACATTCAGCTAGACTACTCAGTCGCACCGCTGTCTTTCTGGAAGACAGCAGCCACATTCCATAATACCTTCAGAAAATCAAGGTTTAAATTATGATTAATGATTACTTTTTTTGTGATCAAATCCACAAAAGTTGCGATCCACATGGTCTGTATGCGGAACATAACAGTTATATGGCTTGAATCAGAAATTTCTCAGCTTCTAACATTCAGAGGCATTTTGGGCCAAAATGAATTTGTTAAAAAGATGGTAATTAGGGCAAAGCTGTGTTGCAACTGTCCCTACGTTGTGTTGAAACCGACCACAATGGTGAAGATGTGACAGATAAATAGTCTTGCAATATCCGGGACCGGGTCACAGGGGAAGCAGTCGCAGCATAGACTCCCAGACTTCCTTCTCTGTAGACACCTTCTGCAGCACTGCAGAAGGGGGAAAACTGAGGCGTTCCCAGGCCAGCCGAGGGACAAAGTCCCTCCAGAGTGTCCTGGACTGTCCCCTGGACCTTTTTACAGAGGGACGTCCCTGGAACACCTCCTGAGGGAGGCATCCAGCGAGCATCCGAAAAGAATGTCTGAGCAACCTCAGTTGGCTCCTCTCTATGTGGAGGAGAAGCAGGCCTACTCCGGGCCTCTTCTGAATGACCAAGCTCCCTACCCTATTTTCTAAGGAAGAGCCCAGTCACCCTGTGTAGAAAGCTAATTTCTTCTGCTTGTACTTAGGGTCTCATTCTTTCGGTCACGATTCCGATTTCATGACCATTGGTGAGGGTTGGAACCTATACTGTCAGGTAAATCGAGAGCTTTGCCTCTTTTACTCAGCTCTGTTTTTTCTATGACAGACCAGAGCAGTGCCTGCATTATAGCGGCAGCAGCACCAATCCCTCCGCTCCATTCTCCGCTCACTCAAACCATGGGCTCGGTCTTGGAGAAGGTCATTCTCCTCCCAGCTTTTAACTCAACTGCGAGCCGCCCAATGCATGCTGTAGGTCTTAGCAGGAGGGAGCCAGCAGAACCACGTGATCCGCAATAAGCAAGGACTAGAGCCGCTGGTCCCTGAACCAGACCCCCTTGGCTGCACCTCGAAATCCTTTCCATAAAGGTCATGAAAAGGACCGCTGACAGAGGGCAGCTCTGCCAGAGTCCAACATGCACTGGGAACAAGTCAGAATAAAAGTCAGATGCACTTTTTTATGTGATGGCATCTAATGGTCTTGTAATACAAATACTGATCTAATAGACATTACTCAGTTAAATAAGCGAATAATGTAAAATAAATTGTGTAATGAAAGTAGTTTTTTTTTTATATTTTAATAAATGGGTGTTTTAAGTATCCCTTTAAGTATCCGTTTGGCCAATTCTGTTCAACCCTGTAACTTACTTTAAATCAAGCTTCTAAATATTGCAGTTGCACGGGTGTTATATTTGTAGTTAGTAGTTTGGGCATAATTTTGGTCCATCTTGTATTCCAATAATTCAGTTCCATTTGTTTGCAGTATTTGATGTATACATGGACCTATAATCTGACCTATGTTTCACTCTGCCGCTGGTGGTGGTAGGGAGAGGAAATCTATACAGGTGTTAAGGTGAGAGGGCAGCGTGTTGAGAGCTGCAAGCTTTTCTGCATCCAGCTTTCTCTGTTCTCTCCACATGTTGAAGTTCCATCTATTTTGCATGCTGCCATAGATTTTAGTTTTCTAAAACCAGCCAGCAGGGGGCGATGGCAGACCATTCAATCACCTCATAGACCCTTAGGATTACCATCACAGAGACTAAATAGAAGTTATAAACTAGTGCTGCTTCAAATTTCTCCTAGTTTAACCTGCAATGTGTCAGTTTTAGAATTGAAAAAAAAAAATTATTACCACAAAACAACCTAGACAAATATGAAGCCAGAAATTATTTATCACATTCACAGAGGTCAGAGAAGCAGCTATTATTTAGCAGAAATAGGCAGCCATTTTTAGTTTTATTCTATGTTGTAGGTGATATAAAACTATATTATTTTATATGTATTTTGATTAATTAATGTTATATTTGTAGTACGCACACTGCTTTGGGGGAAAAAAATTATTTTAGTATTAAAATATTATTGTTATAAGTATTTTATTATAGGAGGAAGCTGGGGGGAAAGGCTCAACAGAAATGGAGCTTATATCACATTAAAAGCATATATCACTTTTAATGTGATATATGCTCCCCTCACTCAAACCGTGAGGGGAGCATATATCACATATATCCCTTTTATTTGATATCACATATGAAATTAAAAGTCATATGCATATATCAAAGCATATATCACATTAATATATCACATGCATGTGAGCATATATCACATTAAAACTAATTCAAAAAGATTTACCGTGATCACACAAACCGGACATTTTAACAGGGGTACGTAGACTTACTGTAAATAAAGGAAGCTAAAAAAAAAAAAAAATTGATTTGCTTTAAGAAAAGTGTATTTCAATAGATTACAGGCGGTAGTTGCACTACATACAATAATAAAAAACCAAATAAGAGTCAGCAAAACCCAAACCAGTATAACACCACTAAGGGGCGCCATTTCTAACGTTTATAAATACGAGGAAAGGAACAACAGTAATGTTTGGAAACATTGTTACCCCATTATAAATAAAAGGGAATGTGAGGGAAATAACATGTGAGAAGGATGCTAAATATAGTCCATTTGTTACCCTTTATTTATTTATTTATTTATTATTTTTTATCTTTTTTGCAGCCTATATTTCCATGCTCATGCAGTGTTAACTTCATGTAATCTTCAGAGTAGCTGAAGATAACAAACAAGCAGAGGAACTCACCGACCGGCTGCATGAATGGAGTCAGTCCCTCTTTCGCTGGATATCACCTGTGGTCTGAACGTGGAGCTCAGAAGAGCCAGCTGCTCTAATTAGGATGACCTGAGACATGTCCGAACAAGTCCATTAGAATCACCCCCTCTACTGACACAGCCATTCATGGGGAATTATAGAATTGAATAAGAAATATAAGAAAGGTTTATTTTATTATCAGTAAGGTAGTGTTGTATGGAGAACCAACTCTGCCATATTTAAAAATAATAGAGAATACAATAAACAAACAAATAAATGTAGGTAGAAATGAAATTATACAGTGTGACATAAATGTATATATCTCTTTTAATTAGCTTCTTTATTTATTCGCCTTTGTAATAATTATCATATTTATTTAGAAGTTGACCCTCTAAGACACACCCCTTCCTCATTTGCATAATGATGCAGAAATGCATACAGAAATATAAAAACGACAGGCAGAAACAAATCGCATTGAAGAAATATATAGGGTAAAAAATACAAAGGGTGAATAAAACAGATAAAAATATATCATGCACATAAATAAATACTTTAAAAAAATAAGTACAAAATAAAGTTGAAGATTAAAATGGACAATAAGTAAATTAGGTAATTATTACAAAGGCGACTAAATAAAGAAGCTAATTAAAAGAGATTCATACATTTATGTCTCGCTGTATGATTTAATTTCTACCTACATTTATTAGTTTATTGTATTTTGGAGGGCAATTAATTGTATGCTTATTTATTTATTGAGCATTTATTTATTTCTGTATTTATTTTTAAATATGGCAGAGTTGGTCCTCCATAGTTTTGTAGGACGTCACCTCTACATGCCAAAATAAATTTCCTTCCTGAAGATATAAGGGCCGTAAATAATTATTCATCCTCACTTTTATGGATTTATGCCACTGGATAAAGGTGAAATTATTATGGTTGGGAGCGTTTCTCCCAAAGTCTCAGCTCTAAGCTTTTCATTGTAATTTTGTCACCACTGAAAAAATAACAAATTTCCGCCTATTTAAGAATTGGCAGAGCTGCATTAGAGCCTGCTTATGGGGAATTACACCCCCTGATGCGCCTCAGGCAGGAGAACGTTCAAGTCAAGTGGAATGACTCGCAACTCGTGATTGGCCCCCCCTCATTCTCTGTAGTACCACTAGACTTTAAAGGATGCTTTCCCACTTTCAATAATCTCTCTGTGCAGCTTGTAGTTTAGTGTAGAGCTAGATGCAGCTTTTGCAAGCGGTTTCAGCCATTTTCAAATCTTTATTAAATACTTAAACTATAGAAACACATGAATCTTAGGACAACTTGCTGATTTAAGTGTTTTTTTTTTATCCTTTAGATGATTATGGATGCAGTTCCAGCAGTGCAAAAAAAAAGGAGAAGGGATTTCATACCTTACTTTTTGGGTTTTGTCCTTTTTTTGTATGCGTCTATTCATCTTATATCATTTACAGCAAAAAGAACTCAGGAAAACTACCCTGCAAGGGTGCGTCGGGCTCTTGGTAAGCACAAATATTCTGGTTTATGTGGGTGATTAACGTTTTTGTTTTCTCACAAAATAAGCTCTGTGTAATTAATCCAATAACAACTTGAAAAGAGCAGCAACATATGAGCATAAATACAGGGAGTGTTTGGCAAAATCTTAATTTTGTCAATTTAAAATAATATTTTAATCTAGGCCTATTTTGTTGAGGTTACTAATTGTTATGGAAGGTTGTTAGATGGAGTTTTACCCCTTTTCAACCCCTTTAAAAAAACAAAACAAAAACAAAAAACGTCAAGATACTGTCACCAAAGGAGAGCCATACAATTTTCAGTAATAAGAAAAATAATATAAATTGTGGATTACAAAAAAATGGATGATTGATGGAGTAATATTTCCGCAGCTTTCTTGAAAAAAGGTAAAAAAAAATACCCATAGTTCATCATGTTGCCTTATAACTTTAATTCATGCTGCATAGCTGCAGTGGTTATAGTTAACATATGTTTTTTATGTAACACATATAATTTCATGTACAAAAATATACAATTTTAGAAACTTATTCTTCTTCTTTTGCCAATTTTCCTCTTTGAATTTAGACAGGATATGATCAAAGGGTTACACACCCCTGTTGAAAGTTACATTTTCTTGATACCAAAAAACATATAAATTCAAAACCGTTTTTCACTTCTAATGAAACATCATTTTTGTAGATTTGGATCACAAGACTGATAAACCCACAGGAAAAAATCTGAAAAACAAAAACAGCAAAATTCATGTTGGATGAATGTGAAGGTTGAACTAATTGCCTTGTTAAAGTCTTTTTTTTAGCCCAACAGCTTTACTTTCACAAGCAGACCAGTATGACTGGTGCCATAAGGTTCTGCTTGATACTTGGGTATTAAACTTTATTGAGCATTATTTGGGGAATAAAACGATATACAATGGAGAAAAAAAGGGAGCTGAGAAAGTAAGAAGGGATAAGAACTGATGGGGAGAGATAGAGACAGGAAAGAGTGCATGAAAAGAGAGAAAATAAAAAAAAACTGAAAAAATAGACAACATAGAAGATATGCAGTAAGTTCTGGAAGTCTGCTTCCGCAGCTGTATGAGATGAGAAGAACAGAAAACAGAACATAACAGCAAAAATGAGACAACAAAGAACCAACATAAATAAAATTTAAAAAATAAAGCTTCAAGAGGGTATCCCTTCAATGTGTATCGGAATCAGAACCAATGGTGATTCCACAATATTAATATTAATGTTAAAATCGATTTACTTTCAGCACTTATTTTTCTAACGATTCTTCTCCAGGATTTTGCTTTTATCTGTTCATTTATATTTGAATGAAAGGTGTTTAAAGTTAATGGAAACTGATCAAATTGAATTACACAGTGCAGAGATGCATCCTGGATATCAATGAGAGTGCAGAGGGGACATCACAGATTCTGCTTTTCTTTCAAACAGATTTGCTTTTCACTTGCTTTACATGTGAAACGTGGCTTATTTTACTGTTTATTTTGATCTGTAATTATTCAAAATGCTTTTTACATCACAACAGATTTGCATTTTAACAAAGAGGTTGTTAATACCTTCCTCAACCCTTCAGTATAATGTCTTTTCTATTTCCTTGATTTGTTATCAGCAGCTGTCAACCATCCCAAATATGCAAACCAAATGGTTTCTGCACACTGCTTGTGAATTATATGATAAAAACAGTTTTCCTGTCGTTTTAGAAAATGAAACAGAATGCATCGCACCACAAGCCTCTGAGTTCCCTGAAGGCTTCTTCACGGTGCAGGAGAGGAAGGATGGGGGCCTTGTCATTTATTTTATGATCATATTCTACATGCTTTTGGCTGTTTCCATAGTCTGTGATGATTACTTCCTGCCTTCTCTAGAAGTAATAAGTGAACGTAAGTTCTTATCATATCTTATTTGATATTTGTGTGTTGTGCTGTCATTTCATTTCATTGTATTTTTTAAAAAACTTTATACCAGTTGCACTTAAGTTATTAGGGAATGTAGAGTCCATAAGCCTTTTTTTTATCAATTAAATTATTTACCATTTACTCCCTACTAAATTATTAAAAATACGTCTTATTTTCCATAATCCAAATGCAATTTTTTGGAGTGTGGTGCTTAGCTTTATTCTAATGTCGTAGTCACAGAGCAGACGATTAAAGTTGAAGCATAGGCCTATGACTTTAATCGATAACTGCTGTGCCAGGACAAAGGTACGCGCCTGTGTGTTTTACACAGGCTGATTGTGTAAGTAGCTCTCTGTCCTTGGCATTGTTTTAGGACCTCTGCTGTTACATACTCCTTTCTGTTTTACAGTGTATAATTGATAGCAAGTTTGTTATTACAAATGTAAATATGTGATATATTTAAAGACTATTAAATTATAATACTTTCAGAATAATCCAAAGTATTTTCACCTTTTTCATGTATCTGACTCGAGTCAGGCTATTTTCACATCAAAACAGAGGTTTGGTGTGGTCCATGTGTGAAATAGCAGATTAGTTCCCTCCCCCCAACACCACAACAAATTGGGATCACACTTTATACGCAGTAGAATTAGTAACTACATTCATTTCAAAACCAGTTGCATATCAAAGACTAACCACTGCTGGTATAAATGATTCTAAATGCTAAAGTTTACTTATCAAACCATAGCAACCTTCCTTTGCTCAGGTTCCTGGCTGGCACTAACTATAAATATTGAGTATTTCCACATAACTTAATGAATTACAGTAAAATCCTAAAGATCAACTTTAATATATATTGTTTACTGTTTATTCTTAATGCACCTTTTTCCTCTTTGTTTGCACCTTCTTTGACTTCTATGCCAATATGTGACAAGTGAATTTCTCCGCTGTGAGATCAATAAAGCTCATCTAATCTAATCTAATCTAATGCTATTTATTATACCAAAGAAATAGGTTATAGCTTAATTTAACTGTTTCTATTTAAAGCTAAATAGATAATTATAGATTGTGGGTGCGGTTATAACACACATTTCTTCAAAACATGAGCACAATAATCCTGAAACTGAAGTTTAATCTCTTTTTGTTAACAGTTTTGAGTCAGCTTTATGTTATATTTTTGTGATCTTTTTGAGGCTATCCTTTTTTATTGTTTTCTGGGTCTCTCTCAGGTCTGGGACTGTCTCAAGATGTGGCAGGAGCTACATTTATGGCAGCAGGGAGTTCTGCACCTGAACTGGTCACAGCTTTTTTGGGTAATTAGACACAGGAACATTTTTAAGTATATCATACACTATGGATTGCATGTATTTGGTCCTGGATCTTAACTTCTTTATGCGCTTATTTTATCAGGTGTGTTTGTGACCAAAGGGGACATTGGGATCAGCACCATTGTGGGGTCTGCTGTATACAACCTGCTTGGAATCTGTGCAGCCTGTGGACTTTTGGCCTCTATGGTACGTTTTAACAATAAACTCAGAAATTACCCATTTATCACCCCCTTGTGTGTGAGAGCAGTTTTTTTTTTTTTTACCACCCCAGAGATTGTCTGGCAGCATTGCTTTGTATAAAACATAAACCATTTAGTTTTTTGTTCCCTTATCAGGCAGGGTGTCTCACCTGTTGGCCTCTGTTCAGGGACTGCCTGGCATATGGAATCAGCGTTGCTGCCGTTATAGGGATCATTACCGATAACAAGGTGTTCTGGTGAGTTTGTGTGTTTGATTTATGTGCAGTGACTCAGCAGCTGATGGTTACATGATCTTCAGACCTTGCACAACATAAGACGATTGGTTATAAAAGACAAATACAGTTGTTTATTGCAAACCTATGACCTAGAGCATGGCAAAATAGACCTCAAAACAAATCCACAAAAGCCGTCTTACTATCTTTCATCTGTCACTTTGACAGTTTACAGCCACCTATCAGTCCAAAAATAAAACAATCAACATGACTATTCAAACATGTAATAAAAGCTTATAAGATACATAATGATTATGCAAAATAATTTCTTCTCCGTCTATATATATATCTCTATAAAAGGGCCAATTTTACACACATACACACACACCTAAATGTGTAGTTTTGTTTCTTTAAAAAAGCATGCAAAGGTAGCTGCTGGCAGTTTATGGGCTTATAGGTTTAGTTTGCCTCAGAAGCTCTTATATGGGAAGTGATGTTGCACCAGTATGGATTTCCTTTCCTTTTTGGTTTTTTTGCCAACTGATATTATCTGCTTTTCTCTATGTTGTGTTAACAACTAACTGAACATTTTCAATAATACAGGTTTTGCAGTACTTATTGACACTGTAGACCACCAGTTGTAGTGATTATATATATATATTGCATATATGCGCAGTATCTTAGCTGTTCCTAGGACTGCGCAGAAGAGCGCAGTCCTAGGAACAGCTAAGATACTGCACAGAACCCTCAAACTCCCAGGCCTCTGGTAGAGGACACGAGCTTGAGGATGACACATACCACCCCACGAGGGGTGAGAAAACAGTTATTTTTTTTTTTTTTATATATATAGAGAGAAAGAGAGAGAGCGAGAGAGAGATAGCATATATACTATCTCTATATATAGTTAATATACTATATAAAGTATATATAAAGTATATATATATATATATATATATATATATATATATATATATATATATATATATATATATATATGCACACACACACTAGATATACATACACACCAGATGTCCATCCATCCATTTTCTGTTACGCTCATCCCTCCTGGGGTCACAAGGGGTGCTGGTGCCTATCTCCAGCTGTTTACAGGCGAGAGGCAGGGTACACCCTGGACAGGTCGCCAGTCTATCACAGGACTGTGGGAGGAAGCTGGCGTACCCAGGGAGAGCCAATGCATGCAAAGAGAGAACATGCAAACTCCATGGCATGCAGAAAGACACCGAGCCAGGAATCAAACCCGGAACCTTCTTGCTGCCACTGTGCATCCCCCAAACCAGATATCTAGTAACATATTCCTAAAATGTATAAAGCTGTAAGGATTTGTCTAGGGAGTTTGATCTCAGATTCAGAAACAACATTAATCTGTTATGCATGTTCAAGTAAATGCAAACCAGCAAAAAACAGAGGGATTTGAGTATTGTTTTGGTGTAAACTATTATCAACATTACACTATTATAATATAAACATACGTTACATATAGAGGTCAAGCTAACCTTGGCTGGAAAAAACAGGGTTCAGGTGTTGCAAACAACTGATTTTGAATGTTGACTGGACCAGTTACCTTCATTTTGGACAAGAACTTGCTGATGTTCTTTGATGTCCTGCGGTGTCACCCTTTGCTTCATCTTAACGCTACAGATCGATATTAGTCGAAAATGTGGTTTTATAAAATACAGCACACTACCAGATTAGACAGGTTTTTTTTAAGGCCTCCTTCTTAAAGTAGTGTTGTTTTAAGACAGCTTTGTAACCCTGTCCTAATTTATATATCTTTATAACTTCTGTTTCCTTGTCCCTTCATTTGAGACAAACCCAGTGGTTATGCTTAGTACCCCTGGACAAATTTTAGAAGTGGACATTGCTTTTTGCCTGATGACAGATATTTCATTCAAGGTTTGCACCATGATTTAACTTCCCATAATTGCAGGTTTTCACACTGTTGGAAGAATGGTATGCATCCTAATAGAACCTGGGTGGAAAACATACAACTCCTGTGGAGGATTAGAATCTGAGACATTGTGGAAAAATTCCTGGAAAAGATTAAGAGAGTTGTGGATAAAACAACTCTATGCCCTCTTTTGGGATTTCTATTATAATTAGTAGGTTTTTTGCAAATTTAAGTACCCCAGAATTAGGATTCTAATTGCTTTATTGACAGACCATTTTGTAAATCAGGTTTAAACTCCTTTGATGACATTGAAAGTACTGATTAATAAAGAATCTTTATAGGTTTTTCTGATGGTGGCTTCCCAGGTGTCTTAGACCATCAACGCCATAACTATCTGACTTTACAAGATGTATCCATTTTAAGCCTGTAACTGTTTGCAGGTATGAAGCAGCCAGTCTACTGCTGGTCTATGGGGTCTACATTGTGGTTCTGTGCTTTGACCTCCGCATCAGTGAGTTTGTCCTAAGGAAGCTGAGCCCATGCTGCACCTGTCTTGGTTCGAAATCTGTTGAAAAACCTGAGACACAGCCTCTAATGGGTTGGAACGATGACAGCAGCCTTCGAGTCCACGTACGCTCCAGAACAGACAGTGGTATCTTTCAAGATGATTCAGGGTATTCTCACCTGTCGCTCAGCCTGCATGGCCTCAACGAGATCTCTGAAGGTATCTGTTTATTTTATTACAAAAGTCACATTTGATCTCAGCTCTAATCGTACGTTATAAAAATTTCCTTAAACTTTACCCTGCCAGATCAAAAAAGTGTTTTTGCTGTACCAGAGAGCGACATAAAAAGGATCTTATGGGTTTTGTCTCTGCCAATCATCACTCTACTCTTCCTCACCATTCCTGACTGCAGACGACGTTTCTGGAAACAATGGTTCATGATAACTTTCCTTATGTCAGCAGTCTGGATCTCAGCTTTCACATATGTGCTGGTCTGGATGGTCACTGTTGTAGGTAAGCTAGCTTCTACACTTCAAAGGATATTTAAAATAAGTGTATTTACCCTTAATTTGAGTAGGTAAATAAGATGATCTTTCGGTGGAATTGGTTTTTTACCATTAAAATAAGAGAAGATATTATAAGACACTGCAATTGTTTTCTTTTTCCTTGTTTTATGTATAAATCATCTTATTCCATTGGTAAAGATTGTATCTAACATACTCAGTTTCAATAAAAATGCACTTATTTTAAGAAAAACAGATCTGTTCTGGAATGGAGGTAATCTTAAAACAATTTTAGAGTTTCTCTGTTTTCCATTGCATAAATGCATTGAGAACAGAAGGGTCATAGAAATAAGATGTCCATAATTCAAGTCGAAATTGAAAGAATAGTTTTATTCTCCTTAGCTGTAGATGATCAGAATATATAGTAGGTGTAAACCAGCATCATACTAGCAAACCATTGTGGATCACAAGTGCTTAAGACTTGTGAGAAAAACGTTGCAGAGTCACATGTGGGTCTTCTGGTTAATTCCTGAGATGCCATTGTCCTGGGGAATTGGAGTGGGGGCTGTATTACAGTGCAGCTGTATGTGCGTGGCCAGTCATAGCAGGATTACAACCCTACCCCTGAGGAAAGCAAGTCATGTGAGCACAGAACGTACATACATGACCAGGGCACTGTTCTAAGAGATTCAGAATGCATTGCAGTAGGGATGTGAACTACAAAGCTGAAACAAGGTCCGGCTGAGAAGATATCATGTGAGAGCCGTAGGTCTGCTGATGCATAATGAGATTAGTATCCCAGCAGACATGAACACACGGGAGAGCTTAGACAAAAGAGCGTGAACAATAAATTATGTACAATATCTTTTAAACTAATGAGCCACAAAACTGATTAATTGCTTCAGATTAAAAGGGACAATCAACTACGAAGACTGATTACGTGAATGTTTACATAGCAATCACTCTCTGGACAGTCTGTAGACACATTCAGTAAGGCAGTTTTTTCAAAGTCTGCATTTAATGTTTTATATTTCTACTTTGATATTCTTTTCTCAGGGGAAACCCTCAGCATACCAGATACAGTTATGGGACTCACTTTGCTTGCTGCTGGAACCAGTATACCCGACACTATAGCCAGTGTGATGGTGGCTAGAGAAGGTATATTTTCACAAAATACTACATCTACAAACGGGAAAGTTGTTCAGCATTTAACTACATTCTCTGTTCATTAGGGAAAGCTGACATGGCCATGTCCAACATAGTGGGCTCCAATGTTTTTGACATGCTGTGCCTGGGCCTACCTTGGTTCATCAGGACTGCCTTTGTGGACACTAACACCCCAGTAGAGGTCAACAGTACCGGACTGCTCTTCATTTCATCCATCCTACTTTTGTCCATTGTCTTCCTCTTTGTGGCAGTGCACATCAACAGCTGGAGGCTGGACTGGAAGTTGGGGATTGTTTGCCTTATTTGCTACGTCCTGTTTGCCACTCTGTCGATTTTATACGAGTTAGGGATTATTGGGAACAATCCCATACGACTGTGCAGTGATTGAAACCTGACCTTCTCAGGATTGGAAGCATATTTCCTGAGACTAAAAGCCCAAACAGCTTTAAAAAAAAAAAAAAAAAAAAAGTTAAGCTGCTGAGATCAAGAAATGTCAAGGAGCAATGGCACCAGTTATAATACCACGCCAAAGTACGCCAGCTTGGCCATCACTCTAGACTTTACGTAAGATTTAACAAAAGGTGAAAATGTGTTAAACTCAAATAAAGTGTCAGCTGATAAGATTTTATAAGTAGGGTTGACGAGTCATAAATGGTAAAAATAAAGCTCTACTCATCCCATTACAAACAGCCTACTCCCTGACAAGTCAAAGTCATGTTTATGAGTAAAAATAAAATTCGACAGAGGGATTATAACAATGGGAGTTTACCCCCCCCTCCCACACACACACCAATGTACAAAACTGTGCAGTTTTTTTGTGCTCTGAAATATCTATGATAAACTCTGTGAAGGTAACAAACAGAAGAGCTGAGGATCGACACGCAGGTTGAATAAGTTAACAAGCATAAAGTTTAAAAATTAAAAAGTTTATTTCTTCAAATAAACCTCCTGACAAATTATAACTGGGTTTATAAAACAAAGGTAAAACAGCTAGCGGCAGTATATAAACAAAAAAAAAAATAATGAAACCGGGGACACAGGAAATAATAGTGTTTTTAAAACAAAACAATGATTGGTATGGGGCCTCAAACAGTGAAAAGTGTTGCTGGAGCTTCTACAAGGTCCCTAAGCGTTGCGATCAATGCGGACATCAACCTCTCGGCCATTGATCTTGGTTCCATTCATCATCCTGCAGGCTTTCTCAGCGCTCTCTGGAGAATCAAATCTCACTGTCCCACAACCCTTTGACCTTCCGTTCTCCATTTTGATCTCTGCAAACATTACATGACCTGTTGGAGAAAAAAAAAAAAAGAGCAGCAATGAGTGATCCCCAGCCAGAATCATCCATAATAAGGGATGTTAAGGCTGCACCTGACAGATTAGTTCATCAATCATGATGAAATGTCAAAGGAGTTAATTAGACAAAAAAAACGAAAATGTAATTCATACCACAATGACTGAACTTGTCTTTCAACTTTTGCCACGTCAGGTCATAGGATAGCTGCAACACAAATGCCTCAAGTCAGGTTGTAGCAAAGAACAAAATGCAAATTCTGAACATAAGTAGGTCAAGCAGAGATGCACCAATCATTAAGCCTGAAATAGAGATCTGCAATTTGTTCCTTGTTCAGATCTGATCGATGATCGGTATGAATCAAAGCACCATTTTCTTTCTAGGAGCAAATCAATAAAGGCCAAGTAGTGAAACTAGAAGTTGGTCAGACATTAAAGAAGGAAACTGATACAAGGAAAGAATAGTTTGTTCAGAGCATCACTAATTAACAGATCACTTATAAAATGGCAGTAAATATGTATTAAGCTGAAGGCCCGCATTAGGATTCATCATTAAGATCAATTTAATGATTTCAAACCTTTAGCTACTTACATTTCGCACAAATATCTGACAGCCGCCTTTGGCTCCAAAGCCCCTGTCCGACATGCCTCCACTCATATGTCCGCCGCCTCCGTACCCTCCGAAGCCCCGGTTCATGTCCATTCCAGACATGCCGACACGATCAAAGCTGGAGCCCATTCTGTCCATGGACATACTGCCCATTCCACCACCTGTTAAAGAAACACGCCTCAGGATATATCTTTTACATAGAAACATTTGGTTTCAGATTTCAATAAAAAATATCATCTGATAAACATTCCCAAAATGGCTGTTTATTATGCTTATGAAATTAAGCCCCTCCCCTTACAATTTAAACTGAATACATGTTAATAGCTCCAAAATGCTTTCCTTTCAGGGAGAACAAAGTACAGGAAATGTGGCTGAGAATGTCAATCATTAATAAATCATGCTTAAATTACTTTTTTATTTATTTAATCAAAATAACCCTGGATCTTGCTAGAACAAAATGACAGTAAAATACTATTTTTATAGTGATCAACTGTGTTTTATATTATGTTTTAAGAGACAGTAGTAAAACATGGTTTGTAATTCTTCACCTACCTAAACCGCTTCCCATGGGTCCCATGCCTCCTCCAAAACCACCACCTTAAGAACAAAAGCTTAATTAGTCTAGATTTTTTTTTAGCTAATTTACACAACAAGTGATGGGTATGATAAAGTGAAATAAAGGCAGTCATAAGTCAGGAGGATGTTTGGCATTAATAAATCTCTTTCTTACCCATTCCTCCAAAAGAATCTCCAAATCCGCGGTTCATGGGCATGTCAAAGTCCCGATCCAATCCACCCATTCCTGATGGATACACATTACTACAAGTTAAAAGGTTACCTTACACTGTTCAGTAAATCTTCATCTTATTGGTGAAAATGCTCACCTCCCATTCTGCCAACTGGGGTCATGTCTCTGCTTCCAAAGCCCCCCATACCACCCATGCTATCCATGCTACCAAAGCCTCCACCCCCACTCATTCCTAGTAAAAAAAAAAAAAACATAAGTAGGGTCTTTGAATGGACAACAAAAATGTATCTAGAAAATAAATCTTACCTCCTCCAAGTCTACCCATCCCTCCGTAACCTGAATCCATACCTGTGGCAGGAGGGAATCTTAGTGAGGCTCAATTAAAGTGCAGAAAAAAAGCATGCACTAGAATTAAATTAGTTTGGATTTGCATAAAATGAGTAGTAATATAATGAAACTACGAGCAATGAAAACATGCGCCACTGTGGCTTTCCCAGCATTTGTAAAGACTGATTTTGACTGACCTCCGGTTCCCATAGGGCCTATTCCTCCCCCACCACTGAGGCGGTTTGCATTTATAGGCTGCCCTCCTGGTCCAAGACCCATACCAATGCCACCTAGGCCCCCTAAAATGGAGCAAAACGGGGAAAAAAAAACATCTCAAGAAAAGGGTTTGAAACTTGCATCAACTACAACTTTGTGGTGAAGTTTGGGGATTTCCTGATTCAACTCTATGGACCGATACATATAATGGCCCAAAACAACATCAGAACAAAATCATACAAACTTTGATTACTTATTTTGTTTTGGAATGTTTTAAAAGGCTTGATCAATTGAATTTAATAAAACAGAACAACGGTCAACTACAACAGAGATGAGAACAACTTACTGAGTAATTAAGTTTCAGCAGAAGCTGAGATTTTAGATGCAGTCCAATATATTCAAGTATTTCTTCTTCGGCTGATGTCTGACTAATTTTTTTATACAGTGTGGCATTCAAAACTTTTACTTACGTGGCAACTGTGGTATTTTCTCTACTGGACCGAAATCATCAGGAGGAAGAGACTTTTCATCCTACAAATCCATAAATAAAAATGTTTCACTTGTAACACCTCTGCAAAGCTTTAGACATTGGAATATTCAGTAAACGTTTAAGCCAACATACAATTTTCACATGCATCTGCCTTTCAAAGAGCATCTGGCCGTTAAACATGGCTGAAGCGGGAGTTAAGGACAAAAGAAAAACCTTAATTTGATGAGCAATGCTGTGTTTTCCATAAATGAGTTTTCAAAGGATACATATGGCCTGCACCGCCTCCAGAGGCTGCTCAAAAGTAACTGTTCCCATTCCGCGGCTTTTTCCATCTTTGTCCTCCTTTACGTCAGCTCGTTTTACGACACCTGCCATGCCAAACACCTCCTTTAGCTTCTTCCAGCCCACTTTGAAATCCAGCTGTAGCAGAGAAAACACTGTATTTTAAATCAGCCCATTATGTAGAGTAAACAAAGGGTCGTGGCTTAGTTCTTACATTAGCTACAAACACTGTGTTCCCCAGTCTTCCAGCCTGCAGAGCGTGGATAACTTCAGGTGGTATGTTGGGGTTGTTCACAATTGAAGATGGGATGTTCATCCCACCAGGCCCTATGTCCTGCCCACGGACCCCAAGTTGGCCCCCTCCCATACGCTGCAGAGCACGTCGGGCGTGTTCACCATCAGGGTCCTTAAATAAGAAAAAAATGTAAAAAACATACATTTAAAAACAAAACAGATACGCACTTTTTTTCCAGATCGATACCGATATCCAGGCTGAATGTGTCGACCCACAACATAACAATAGTTACTACTTTTAAATAAACAATCTATAAATCTTGTCATCAAGCTTGACAAAAATATTAATAAAAAGAGGTAAGAAAGTAACACAGATATAAATCATCACTAGCAGCTGTGTGTGAAAACATAACATATTGCACACATAGAAATTAAGTGACTAGTACTGATGAAAAAAGAAATTAATGGACAGAATGTTGAAGTAGCATCATTCGTCTGATAGCTGTTCAGGCTAACAAGTCAGAGCCAGTATCCCATCAGGGAGTTGGATTGCTGCATTTCTATTACAATATAGAGAAGGAAAAAAAGCTAACAGAAAATACAAGTTAGTGCAGTGTGAATACCACGGCTAGCTAACAGGTAGCTGCTAACAGCTGTAAGTAGCATCTAAATAAGGCTTTCCTGTTGGCACTATTCTAAAGCCCAATTTCAGCTTTTAATGAGAATGGACACCATTTGATAAAGTCAAGGTTTTATCAGCGCAAGAAGAGTTTTGTCTGCTTGTTTTGTCCACATCTACAGAAAATTCTTTTTTTTTTTTTTGTATTCAAAGCTTAGTTTGTGAAAAGTGTAATTTAAGTTCAACCAAAGGCACTATGGTGGTTGCTCTCAGAATACAAACATAATGGAAATCTACTTTGAGAATCGGCATGCAGCACCTCCGATATTCATATTTATGCTGCTATTATGGCTACGAAACCATTGTGAGTACCTAGAGCAGCTCATTTAATGTAGATTTCTAATTTTAATTTAGTTTTTAACGGCACTAGTGGCTCGTTTTCTGGACAGTAGGCTGACAGGAAAGAGGGTATGAGAGAGGGGTAGAAGCATGCGGCAAAGGACCACAGTTCAAATTCGAACCCTGGGTCAGCCACATCAAGGACTAAGGCCTCGCTAACCATTGTGATTTTTCATTTTTTTATTTAAAATTTTGTGACCATCTGCAGAAGAACCGCTGCTTGCTGGTAGCAGCATTGCTAAGAAACAGATAGTGAAACAGGTATGAACTGAACATATATATTACAACAGTGGCTTATTCAGTCCAAACAGTGACTGAGTTAGTTTTGATTCCATTTGAAAACAGCCAAGACCACCTCAAAAAGGTTTTGTGGTCCAGCCCAGAGCTCACTGGTCTTAATCCACTCAGCACCAAAGGTCCAGACCCAGGAGCGAAACAAACTATAATCCATTTAGCAGATCTGAATGTGGCAGGTGTAAATATACCCTTGAAATTATAAATGTAAAATATCTGTCCATTCCACCACTTGCTACAGAATCAAGCATGTACATTTAACACAGTAAAGGGTTCCACCACTGAGTTATGTATGAAGCATAAAAGTCAAGATTTATACAAAAGCAAATTCAGCAGCGAAAAAATGGTGGAAAAACCTGAAAGCATTCTACAGATAGCTTTTAATTATACTGGATGTAGATTACACATGTTAAAGCTTAA